CTAACTACTAACTTACCGGCGTGTGGCTTAAGTACGGCTGAGCGGACGGGAAGCCCTGTTCTCCACACCCTGTGGTCGTATGTACTTGTTTAGATATTAAAAGGGAATATATAGAATGGAAGCATTTCAAGATTGAGTTGCAACCTAGGTAGATGGATATAGACAGGGTCAGAATCAGGGTGAGATTAGGGTGAGAATCACCCGAGTTGGGCGACCTCCGCACTAGCCCTTTCGGCTAAGCTATTATATAATGTCATTGGATCATACTGTTCCATCTAAAACCCTCGGCATATTGGCATATGCACGTAACCACAATTAGAAGCATCATACAACCAAACTCCTTCAAAGTGTCTTTAAACTCGTGGTCTGCATTATGCTGTCGAAGAATTCGAGCTTTGACAGTGGTTCGGATCGTTACATGTGGGTTTGGGCCCAAGAGGTTCGCTGTATAGGGTCTCCCCTGCAACTAGCTCGTAAAAATGACCCTTCAACAGCGGCCAGCTTCCACGGATATGTGCATCCATGCATCAATTCGATTCTCTTTTCTCTTTCCCGCACATTAAATAGCCTGTAATATCTCCTGGAACTCGTGATATTTACAGCACACGTGTTATACAGTAGGTAAAATAATTAACGGCTTAAGCTACATACAGACTAGCGCACGGATGTGGTGCTGAGAAAGAGCGAAAGAGTGTAAATGTTGTAGAAGCCGAACTTTTCAGGTACTGTAATAAGTGCCCACAGTGAGCTCGCCTTGAGCAGCCGCCCTTGCCAGGCTGTTGGGACAATTGAATCATACCTTCTCATGGTGTCCGTTAATCCCAGTTGGGAAGACCAAAATGAATTTGCCGTGGCTCCTTCAAGCATGATCTTATGAATGACCAAACGCGGTACTTTAAAGACTAAACAAAACAAAGACCCCCATTCGCATTCACTGTACTACCCGTTGACCAGCTGCTCCCCTCTTCAGACAGGAAAGCAACAATTTGCGCAATGTCATCCACCTCGGCGATCCTCGCCCCAGCAGGAATCTCGTTCATTTTCGTATCCCACTCATCAAGCACGGCCTGCTCAGTGTCCTTCAACCACATATCCGTCTTGACGGGCCCAGGATTAACACAGTTAACCGTAGCCCCATACTTCTGTCCCAGCTCCTGTGCCCATACCTTCGTAACCCCCTCCAGCGCCGCCTTCGTCGCACAATAAGCCGTGCTATACGAGCCTCCCATGCGTGCGATCACGCTGGAGACGTTGACGATGCGAGGCGCGGTCCCGAAATGCGCCATAGCTTCCTTGAGTAGAAACGTCGGGAACCGAAGATTGCAGTCCAGAACCTTGTCCCATAACTCGTGTGTTAGGTCACTTAGTAGAGCGTCGTCGCCAGTGCCAGCGTTGTTGATGATGATGTCGATGTGGCCCCAGGTTTCAACGGCTTTGGCGACGATCCGTTGTGGGGAGCCACGGTCGCTGCCACTTGCTTGCACGCCTTCTGCACTGACACCCAGTGTCCGTAGCTGGCTGATTACCGCTGTCGCTTGTGTACTGGCTTGGTTGTATGTGATGAGCACGTTCGCCCCGCGCTTGCCCAGCTCAATGGCGATTCCCGCTCCGATGCCGCGGGATCCACCGGTGACGATTGCGACTCGATCTTGGAGGGATTTGAATGTTGAGGCCATTTTCAATTGAAATTGGTGTTTATGCTGGATTGTTTCATCTGGGGGCGGGGTAAGAGAGGCGATGCGTATGCGCAAACAAGAAATCCAGACTGTGGGGTACCAATTGTCATTGACAGGATTGCATATAATTGGGAGATCGGCTCTCATATACCTTGTTGACGAGTTTCTTATCGCAATATTTCCAGCGTTATTATTCTCGGATGGAAGGGCTCGCTGTGAATTGCCTCAGCCTAGTGCGATATCCTCAATCCGCACCTCCCCATTTTGAACAGAATCTCATAGATACGTGATAAGGAGTTCCATTTACACAGTTTAGAGATACATGGTTGGGATTATCGGCTTTGATGTCCTGAATTTCCCCCTAGGTAGATTGTTGCATGGTGAAGATCTTGTCGCTGTCGGTTCCCAGTACGGACACTATCTTATCCAATGGGATGCTTGATGTTGTCAATCGATGCGGACAGTTCAGGGTATCAGGATCCAGTGACCTCTTCCAAGTCACACTGATATCGTACCAATTGCAGCTGGATTGGATTTTTCAAATTCAGTGAAGGTGAGACTCGCTGTCGATTTCCAACTCACAAGGCTGTCCAAATGGTCTGATGCCTTTTTTTTTGCTCATTGGCTATGTTCAAGTCATGCTAGATTAAACGCGAAAATCTATAAGGAGCTTCGTGGAATCCTTTGCCATCTGGAAAATAGACATCCAAAGGGTTTTCAAAACATCTTCGCCAATCAGGAATCATATTTCGCTGTTCAAACATGGCTGTCAAGACCAGACCAGCTGTTCCGGTGGTAAAGGGGACGGCATCGGCTGACGAGATCGCCGCCGCCCTCAAAGTGGCCGGGGGTGTGATTATTCGCAATGCAGTGAGTCAGGAAGCTCTCGACCAAATTGAGTAAATATGAAGCTTCTAGACCCCATTTAGATATACTCTAACAGAGCTTAGACTCGACATACGCCCTGGTCTTGAAAATGACACGGCATGGAACGGGTCATTCTTTCCGGCACAAACCCGGCGCACAACCGCCGCGCTTCAGAAATCTCCGACCTACGCACGTGAAATTTGCATGCATCCACTGTTCCAAGGTGTATCTAGCCGCTTCCTGACAGAGAAGCAATGGTATTGGTCCGGTACCGAAAAGCAATGGACAGTCTCTCGCCCCCAACTGTCCAATACGATTGTATTCAGTATCGGTCCTGGCGCCGCCGCACAGCCTCTGCACCGCGACGACTCGATCCATCAGCGGGTTACCAAGTTCGCAGAGGTGTACCCGTCTGGTCGCGAAGGCACTCGCCGGGACAGCAGCATTGGGTTTTTCGTCGCTGGCAAGAAGGCCACCAAAGCCAATGGCGCCACCCGCTTCATCCCTGGGAGTCACCTGTGGGACCACAATAACCCTCCAAACGAGGATCTTTGCGAGTATGCAGAGATGGAGCGCGGAGATGCATTCATGATGCTTGCTTCTTGTTTCCACGGCGGATCGGCGAATACCACTGCTGACGAAGAGAGGCTTATTTTCTCCACCTTCATGACGAAGGGATATTTGCGACAGGAGGAGAATATGTATCTTTCTGTGGACCTGGATGTGATGAGGAAGTACCCCGTCGATATCCAGAAGGTTGCTGGATATAGCCTAAGTGAGCCGTTCCTGGGATGGGTAGACTCGACCGATCCTAGAAAACTGCTGGACCCCAATATTCCCGATAACACTGATATGTGGACTGGAGTGGAGGAGCCGGCTGATGATTGGGCTTAGTCACGTGCTATTGAGAGCATTTTGCTTCAGGCATGATAGTAGTACTAGATGATGGCGAAATTACTTGTTTTGTATATACTAACGGGTTTGTCACTGCTTCATCCTTTTGTAAGCTAAATTTATTCCAGTGTTGCAGTTTTCATCCACAATCGTGAACACTTTTCTAAATGAAACTGCCTCTAGGTATTATTAGCATATAATTAACTATTTATCGTAATTGACCCGATTCTAGATGCCTGGATAAGAGCTTCCCACGCTTAATCTTTATATGTATGTTGACCAGCATATTTTCAGGTGTCAATTCTTACGAAATATTCTTTGCAATTAATTGAATTTCCGTTCATAGTTTTATTGATTTATGGCCATGACGTAATTTCCGGTACAACCTAGGAACTTTATATTTGGATATTCGTCTCATGACTGTTGTTGTGCTCTCAAGTCTACTGAAGAAATATCTTCCTGTTTCTTCAAATAGCCCTCGGAACTTGGAAACAATTTTTCGCATGAGCCAACCAGTTAATCCCGCTGATAGCAATGACAACAGCAATGACCAGCACCGCCCAGTTCATGGTATCCATGGTCACTGGGAGATATAACGGAAAGCACAACCAAACAAACACAAAAACGATCCACACGACGGAGATCCAGTTCAACACAGTACCAAACCCGTTTCCCAAGTTAAAATAATGAGGCACTTTCAAGGCGGAGCGCTTACCCAGCAGGGAGCATGCAACCGGAATGGCGTAGGATGAGAAGACGCAAAGTATGGCGGAGCCCAAAATTGCATTTAGTGCCGTTGCAGAACCCAGCTCGAGGAGACCGATTAGTGAGCAGGCAACCACAGAGAAAATGATACTGTTCAGTGGAAGTTGTGATGGCTCACTGACCCTGGCCATAACTTTGGAGAAAGGCACACCCCCTTGACGGGCTAGAGACCACCAGATTCGGGTGAAAGCCGTCAGCAATGTGACGCTGGCACAAGCAAAACAGATGATGAATACCAAAGTTCCGACAACAGCAAGAGGAAAAGATCTGAGAGAGTCAACGAGCAGTTGAATGATAGGTTGACCACCGACAGGATTCAGAAGATTTTCCGGGTTTGTAATGCAAAACATATATACCAAGATCATAGGCAACCCAGAAATCGCACTTGCCATCGCGCTAATGAACATAACTTGGGGGACCTGTCGGGAAGGCTGGGTCATTTCTTCAGCCATGTGCGCGGCACTGTCGAACCCGTTGATGGCCGTGAGGCCCGGTAGTAGACCGATGAAGAACACAACGGCATCCGATGACCAACCGGTTTGGTTGACGAAATCCTTGAATACGTACTGCTTTGATTGTTTAGGACTTGAGCGAGCAAGTAGGACGATGAGGATAAACAGGCTGCCGAGGTTGATATAGGCCACCAGGCCTTGCAGAAAGATAGGGTACCATTTAAAGAAGACTGTGTTTGGCAAAAGGGTCCAAAGACCTATCGCAACATAACACATGTAGTAGTGCCATGCAAGTGGAGTAAAATTGGAATGGCAGATCTGGACCAAGGCGAATATCAATTCCGAAGTGATGAGATAGGTGGCTGCTGTCCAGAAGAAGTAACCGGCGGCTGTCAACCATCCCACAAGGTAGCTGAGGCTACGCGCATAATGTCTGGGCGCCAATTGTGACGTCCAATAAACCTGGCCTGGAGATCTTTAGTTAGCTGGTAGTTTAGAAATGACAATCATCCACACAATGCGAAGAAAATAATGGGACATTACCTGAGGAGTGTGGGAAAACAGCAGCCAGCTCTGCTAGAGACGCACAGATACACAAATTGAAGAGAGCGGCAACGATGTACCCAAAGAAATAGACTGGACTACCACCGACCCCTATATTGACTGAAAGATATGTTCCAATCGACAGGGGCACCGAGGTAATGGAGAAAGAGATTCCTAGTGTGCTCCAAAAATGGAACGGTTTTCCAACCTCGACGGCCTCGACGTCGCCGACGCCGAACTCATGGCCGGAATCATCTTCTGCGCTGGTGTTTAAAGCCTTCGTGTGATGTTTGGCCTTATCAGTCATGGCCGACATATTCAAATTGATTCACGGATAACGAAACACAAAAGCAGCATCATAAAATTCGAGATGGCCAACAATTATATACAAGCCAAATACATCCTAGCATTCTTAGGATCAGCCAGGGTTCCGCTACTGATAGCCACGACCTATCTCTGACGAACGTGGTGTGAAAGATACGACAGAAGTTGCCACCGGTTTGGAATGTGTAGGGGTGCATAGGTGGTGTTCCGACTTCAGTAAGATCCTATCTTTTGATTTCGTCCACATAAGAGAAGGCCATTATCAGATGGTGCGTTCTGTGTGGTCGTTCTTTGTTGGCTGGGAATTGTACCTGTTATCCACCACCTGCGGCAGGAAACTCACAGCGAGATGTGGGGCGGCGATAAAACGCCCGTAACCTTCCGGTGAGCAGCCGATAAGGCTGCACCAGCATTCTATCATCTCTCTGTCGCTTGCCATCTGAAATCAAACATCATAATGCCCCGAAGAGGACCCAAGAAACCTGTCAAACGATCAAAGACATTCACTGGATGCTGGACCTGCCGGTCCCGGGGCGTAAAATGCGGCGAGGAAAAGCCGGCATGTGTTAGGTGCAGCAAAGGTTCATTCCATTGTGAGGGCTATGGGGTCAAGCTTGTTTGGCCAGACGAGTACAACAGGAATCCCACCGGCGCCCAAAGACGCTTGTTCACTCAGCTGCAGGAGTGTGAGGGGCCCACCCTCAGTGAAGTACAACTCGATATCTCTCTAGAGACTTTAGATGCAGCAATTGTCGTCGATCAAGAGCAAGATGGCCCTTTTTCAGTTTTCCGTCTCCCATCTTCTCGGGGAGACGTCGCCCCGGAGCACTTGCGTCTTTGGGCTGATGTGGAATCATCCAACCTATCCATCTTAAGAGACGGGGTTTCGCCGCTTGCAGGTTCTCATTCCAAAGATTCCTCTATGTCAACAATATTGCGGGAAGTAAATGATAATCAAGACGACAACTTGGATACCATTTTGGTCACGTCCAACTGGCCACCAGAAACACCAATTATCCCAGAAACCGGCCATGCTTCTGTTAATAGATGCCGTTCTTCGCCCCGCCTGCAGGACTATGTGGCATCTGAATGGAGTCCGTGGACTGAAGATTCTATCAATCATTTCGGACTCTTTGGATATCCCGAACCCAGAGAGGATCGAGAATTGATGCATTATTGGATAACGCATCTCAGCGACCTGATGATATCGGTTGGCTACGCAGATAATCCTTACCGGGCTGTCTGGGTTCCCATGGCTCTACAATCAATGGCAGGAAAACATACATTGCTTGAGAATTCTGCTCTGCTTCATGCGATCTATGCATTATCGGCCTTCAATAAATCCCAGCGAGTAGAATTCAATACCCTATCAGGCTCGATGAGCGCCATCAAACATTACCAACTGAGTCTCAGTTACCTCCGACAGGCATCGACGCAAAGAAGGGAAACGCAGCTGGAAGTTGTGCTGGCTGTCATCAGTGCTCTATCACTCATGGAAGTCATAAGTGGCAATTTCTCCTTCTGGCGAGGCCATTTGAAGGGTGGCAGGGGATGGCTTCACTCGATTGAACAGGGGAAATGGACTCACTTGCAAAAGTCGATGACTTATCAATTCTTCCTGTTTACCGAAGTCATTGGATCCACTATCCCAGAGGCTGCAGCCACTACAGTGGCAAAAGCCACCCATGCAGTTTGTGACTCGGACTACGTGTACGACCCAACATTTGGTGTTACGAGCATGTTCCTAGAGACAGACTATGTTCTTGATCAATACTACGGCATCACGAAACCGATATTGGAGGCTATCATACATATCAATCATCTTTCCACTTCTCTTCACCGTCCCTCCGAGATCGAATTGGAAGGGCTTGAGATCAAAATTCGGCTTAATAAACCGATGTCTGCATCAAACAAACAAGGGATTCTCGGCCCGGAGAGACTGGTGATCATGGATTACCAAATGGTCTTTTATCATGCTTGCTATATCCATTTCAAACATAGTCTACTACACACTCTTTCAGAAGACCTCCAAGGAACAGTGCGCCAGAGTCTTTTGCACTTACGAAATATTGAAATCCACGAGCTTACCTCCGGATACTGTGGAATCCTATGGCCGATGTTTGTGGTCGCGTGTGAAGCCGACGAAAGCAAGTCACGAAACGCATTCTTCAGGTGGTTTGCCACAAAGTCGAGGTTGGGTATTGGAAGTGTGAGTTTGGCTTTGGCTGTAGTTCTTGAAGTATGGCGCAGGAGGGATACCGCAAGGGTCCACGATAAAGCTAGCTGCTTTGTCAGTTGGGGAAAAGTTATGGCGGAAATGGGATTGGACTTATTTATTATTTAATGGGCAATTGGAATTACCACTCAGTTCAACCACACGGCTTTATGTGCTTGCTATCAACACAGAGAGCCCGAGAGGCCAAATAATCATCCAATATTAAATTAATCCATGTGCATTGAGGAAATATTCGCGATAAAAAGAGCCAGTTCAACTTTACAGGGCTAAATAGTCTCCAATCTCCTTATAATCAATCTGCCACAACCCCGGACTTCCTTTAGGATACTGACTCCGAAATCCGATCATTTTCTGCGCCCGTGGAGTCATTTGCTTCACCACGTCCATCTTGATTAAAAACGGGAAGGCCTCTTCTGGCGTCAGGTAGCCTGGTGAAAATGTGAAAGCAAGGCCTCGACGCTTCACATCGACCGACCTGTTAGCGCCGCCACCATGAACCACTTTCCCAGAGATCAAGAGCACGTCACCCGCGTTCATCTCTGCCGGGATGGTCATCTCGGCCGTCCCGCGATCATTGAAGTCAGGCCAGTGATTACTGCCAGGTATGACTCTCGTAGCCCCGTTCTCTTCAGTAAAATCCGAAAGAGCGATTAAAAAGTTAAGGTTGACTTCCGGACCCGTGGGTCCCATGGCGATGAAGGGGTAGCTGTTTTCCAGATCTCGGTGGAGAGGCTGGGCGTCATTGCCGGGGCTGATCTCGATGACCTGCGCAGTGCTCATCCAATAGCTCTGTGCCTCTTCCTGAAAGACTCGCTCAGCAATCGCATGCACTGAATCGCTGTCTAGCAGCGTGTCGCGGAAGGTTTGGCTTAACGTCACAAGATTGGTGATGCGTTTGGTCATGGCACCGTGGAAGGTCGAGATGAATTTATCGCTGTGGGTTGAGCCCAAGACAGCTTGCGCCACCGAGGCGTCAATTTCGTTGTTCAAGCGCTGTAGTTGATCTGCGGCCAGGAAGTTTTCGATGATGACTCCTCCATCGGCTTTGACAATTGTCAAGATTTCTCCGGGGCTGCTATTGTTTGGAACTCGCCGAAGTGAGGATTCTGGTTGGTGCTCGACATTTGTGACGTATTGTGTATTTAAATGTTCCTAACGGCCTGGGAGGATGTGGTTTAGTCAATCTTTAGCTTTAAAAGAGCGGATGTTTGATCCCTCTTATCTTGAGCTTCGCGGTTGTACAGGGTGCAAATGGTAATTGACAGCGAGGGTCAATTCCAATCAATTCCAGTCCCATGCCTGAGAAGTTTTCCAACCTAGAATGATTAATTGATCTAATATGTACTTTCTAACTAATGCGATTAAACTGATGACAGACCATCATTTGGACCCACTTCGATGGAAGGTGACAACGAGCCCTAAGGAATTCCAACCAAAGTTACTTGGTGGAATCTTTACTAATGGAGAATTTCCTGGTCTCCACGGATCATGGGGTTTCCTTATCCTTAATAATACTCAGAGCGCGGATTTGAAATCGATCTTTTATCTTTGCCGAGGCTAACCAGTCCGAAGAATGTCACTTTAAATCAGCGTATCCCCGCCGAATCTCCAAATAACCGCCAAAAGATTGAGATTGCCCTGCGAAAGACCTTTCTACCATACTCTCCAATCTATGACCACCATGCGCATCGCAGTTGCCGGTGCTGGCGACCTAGCCAAATACCTTGTGGAGGAGCTCCTCGCCGCTTCCCATGAAGTCGTCGTGCTAAGCCGAAGCTCAAAACCCTGGTTCGAACGCCGTGACATCTCTTTCCGTCGAACTGACTACTCCGTCCCATCATTGGCCGTAGCTCTGGAAGACTGCGATGCCCTGGTCTCCGCGCTGCTCGACTACTCTCTCGGCAGTGCCACCACGCATCTCGCCCTATTGGAAGCCTGCCAGCAAAGTTTGAAATGCAAGCGATTCCTACCTTCTGAATACGGCGGAAATATCGATCTATACCCCGACTCGCCACAGTTCTACTACGCCAATCACGAGCCTGTGCGCCAGGCGTTGCGTGCACAAAGTGATGTCATGTGGACGCTTTTCAATATGGGCTGGCTGTCCGACTATTTCGTACCGGCTGGCTCACGATATATCCGTGATATCGGTGAATTCCACCCTGTCAATTTTAAAACGGGCACGATAACCATCCCGGGGACCGGCGAGGAGTTGATTTCTTTTACTGCTGCGCGTGATGCGGCGAGGGCTATTGCGCGCCTAATTGATCAGGATAATTGGGAGCCCACTACTTTTGTATGTGGTGAAACGACCACCTGGAATATGGTTGCGCAGTTGCTGGCCAAGTATGGAAAGAACCTGGAGGTCCGTTATGTAACCCTTGATAGTCTGCGGAATTCGATCAAGCAAGGGAGCCCAGGTGATGACGATGTCATTGCGGCGCAATATGCCGAGTTCTCTCTGGCTGGTGGAGCTATTCTACCCCAGGAAAAGGTAGAACGTCAGATGAGGGAATACTTCAATGATCTGAAGTTTCGATCAGTGGAGGAAGTGGTACGGGAAGCGGAACAGCATCCGGGGACTATTGTTTAGGAATGAGTGACGATTTGGATAGGGATATTAAATTGATCAGTTCGTCATGTAACTACGTTGAAAAGCAAAAATCCAATAAAAATGTCGTCTTTGAAGAAATTTTGAAATCAGTACGCGCTGCTTCCGGGACAAGGTCGGAGTACCGACTTTGCCGGGCAAGCAAATTTAGGGGAAAGAAATTTAAATCCATATACAGAAAAACAAAATCACCTGGAAATGACGATGCAACTGTACGTCTTGCAAAGATTTGCATAAGCCTCTACGCGTCGAGATAAAGAACGGTCCTATCAAAATTAATCGTCAATTGATTTATTGAAATTCCAGCTGATTAGATAGGATCAAAATTCCTGTCACCAAAGTAATGTCCGGGGTAGCTCGCCGTGGCTTGCCCACCTCTTATCTCCTCCGAAACTATACATCCACAATCGAGAGATTCGACTTGTATATAGCCCTTCCTCGATATAACGTGGAAGCCAACCGCAAGCCAAAATCCCAATTCCGTCCATATACCACATATTAATTTCTTTTCATAACCCTTTCCTTTCATCTATATCTCTTACCACAGCCAGAAGAATGTCAGAAGAATACAACTCTCCCCTGAACACACACGGCATCAAGTGCTTCAACTCTGCCGGGATGGGCGTAAAACTCTCACCCCTCTTGCATATCTCCTCCGCAACTGTTCTCCCCCCAAACGCCCGCCTGGTCGTGACGTCTGGACAGACCGGCATGCTCGAAGACCTCAGCTACCCATCCTCGCTGGTCGAGCAGTTTGACCTTGCTTTTGCGAATGTAGAGGCATCCCTCGCAGCCGCGGGTGTGCAGGGTGGGTTCCGTGCTGTTTACCAGATGACTTCGTACCACGTTGGAGGCTTGAGTGGCGGCGAAGTGGATGAAGCGATGCAGTTTGTGGTGGAGAAGTACTTTGGCGAGAATCGGCCTGCTTGGACTGGGGTTGGGGTGGCGGAGCTTTATGGGGAGGCGAAGATTGAGGTTACGGCTTATGCTACACTGATGAATTGAGAGGGCTTGGAATGATTATTGAGGACTCCTTTCCTATATTATGAGTTTGTCGTGTATCTCTTGGATCCTTAGGCTCCTTATCCTCCCTAAATCTATAAACTATTAGTCTAGACTAGCAGACTGGAATGGCTAATAAGGTAAATTCAAATCTATCGCGTCCTTTATTATCTCTAAGTCGGTTATATTTTGTCGGGACCCCTGCCATCACTAGACTGCCAAAACTCGCGAATGCGTTATGAGATCAAAATCCAATCCAACCCAACGCGGGATTTAGGTTTTACACTGAAATCCTTGGAAGCGATTCGGAGCAATTGGTAGTAGGCCCTTGACTTGAGTGAGGTGCATGTCCCAGGAGAAGTTTGTGTAAATAGCAAAATACATATTTCGAAAGTACAGCCATTACATGTCTATGTATTTACAGTCTTGATTCAAGTCTGCTTGAATCCTTGACGCTGTGGCATCACATCCAGAGGAATAGCGAGGGGATTTTCAAGCTCTAGAAGTAGCCGTTCGAGAAATCGAATATAAACAGGGTTATCCCCTACAAATTGAATCAAGGGTGTCATATTCGTGGCGAATATATTCAAAGACAAAAGCTAGCTGTACGAGCGAGAATACGTTCCTTGACCTATGCCTACGAGTATAAGCTGTCTTAGGGGATTGGGCGCTAAATGGGTCTAGGTAGATAGCATAAGGGCTAGGCCGTAGGTCTATGCTCCGCTTCTGTATGCCTTGTCACATGTGGCTGTAGGTTCGATCACGCCGCAGCCCGTCCGATTTCGAACACAACATTACGTTGTATATGCTCAGCGTCCTCCCAAGACCGGGGTAAGTCATTTTTGTCACCCAAACTTCGAAGCGATTGTCTACGTCTGCATGCGCATGGTTTCAATAGAATATTCCTGGTTTTGCCCCATCGCTCCCTAAAGAGGACAACTTTGGGCTAGTCAATACATCAAACACTTGACTTGCGGTCGCTTCGGCTTGAGGTCTCTCTTTCGTGAGATTGCTATTATCTCCTCGCACCAACACACTATCACCGGCAAGCTTAGGTAGATATAAAGGGCATTTATCATCTTGTCACCCCTTCTCACCCTGTTCTCACCTCTGTCACCTCGGTCTCCAGAATTCTCACGTATATCACCCTCACTTACCCTAAGACAATTTTTTCGCCATTTAATTTTCAAGGCGCTTCGAGAAGTCACGTAGAGTAAATAAAAAAAACAAAAACATACAACAGTAAGGATTCGCTAGTGGTCACCCACCTAACTACTAACTTACCGGCGTGTGGCTTAAGTACGGCTGAGCGGACGGGAAGCCCTGTTTTCCACACCCTGTGGTCGTATGTACTTGCCTTATGGTCAAAACAATTTATGACTAGCCAAAATCCTTAACACCTATAATTGACTTGTTCTAGTTATAATTTCTTATTTATTTTTAAGTGACTAATTAAAGCTTTATACTAAGCTCACAAATTAAATATCCATAGATTATACTATGGTGGATCGGGAAATTAGGATAACGAAATTGAGAGATATATATTTGGTGCACTTGAGGGATAGAGAAATAGACAAATACTCGATCCGTGGCTGGAAACGCAGATCCTATTTATAATTACGATTGATGTAGCAGTGAAAACTCCGTAAAAAAATCAGTGTTTAACTACAAAAGGACTACACCACTATACGTAAGAAACACAAGAGCAAGCCAAAATGAAACCAAAAATCCCTTCTCGCTCCTCGTCAAATCAAGGTTTGCTCAACTGCTCATTGCGGAAGAACATAAAGAATCCAACAGGAATTGCCAGCTGACAACTCAATGCAATCCAAAACCATGGCTTCGAGATACCCTCGATAACGCCCGCCGAAAAGTCAGGAAACACATCTCCAGGTCCGTCACGATCTGGAGCTGTAGCGCGAGCAACCAACGTCGTCACTGTGCCTATCAGCTGCGCAGCGCACAGCGACGCCGCAATATGTATCCTTGTAAGTGTCTGCAGAAGGATCATACCGAATCCAACCCCCTGAATGGAATCTAAGACCCCCAGCCATAGCCAGACTGCTCGGGCGCCCAGGGCGTAAGCGCGTGGTCCGCCCAGCATCCATGGCACCCACCAGCCGATACCAGACGTGCTCCAGAGCATCTGCCCCCATCGTGGAGCACCCAGTCCAATAGCGAAGATGGCCATGATCCAAGAGTGACTTTTAGATCGCCAAGCCAATATTGCTAGAAGTACGTACCAGACTCCGATGAAGAAAGTAACGGCCAGCAGAAATATTGCCCAACGTGGCACATACTTAGATCCCCAGAGATAATTCCAGTTTCGTTGGTAGGGCATGCTGAGGAAATAGTTCTGCAGCACCACTGATACTGAGAACCAAATAATGATCTTGCGTCGGAGGATGCTCTTGTAGAAAGCTGGGATTTTGCCGGGGGTCTGGCGGTAGTAGCTGGGTAGACCGGTGAATAGAACCACTGCTATGCCGAATAAAAGAGCGGCTATCGGAATGGTGATTGCTGCAACAGCGCCCGGAGACTCAAGAATTTCTCTGCCATTCCCCGAGGCAATATCAGCGCCCCAAAAGAAGAGTGCAGCGATGTAGAGATTCTGCGTGCCCTGGATAATGCATGCGCGATACACCCAGGATTCACTCTTTGAGCCACCTACAGGAAAGTTAGGAAAGAAGTGACAAAAGTTTCTGTTAGATACATACCGTCGTCCCCAAAATTGAGTGAAAAGAACAGATATCCGCTGGAGGAGCCGACGATGTATAAGGTAGTAGCAAAATGATACGTCCAATCCTGACCGTTGCCCTTAGGAACAAATGCTGCAATACCTATAGTCAAGAATGCAAGACTATAAAACACGAAAGGTAGAGACAGTAGACGAACGGATGGGATGCGCCGGAATGCGAGCCACCAGCCACAGGTCGTAACAATATACACACTTCCTAAAATGTAGAGGGTGATGGGGCTTTGCCCTGATGATGAGGTGAGCAGTGTAATCTGGGAGGAGTTGGCAGCCATGATCTGGCCCAAAGCGAGAATGATTGAGTAGATTGGCCAATCGAACACGCGAGTCAACAGCCATCGTTGGATCCTGGGTGGTCGCTTGAAAGCCTTGGGCCGCAAGAGTTCTTGTGTTGACAAGTCCTCCCAGTTGGATGCATCGTCTTCGACTTCATCATCTTGATCGTTGAGAGATGGAGATCTTCGATAGGGCGAAGGACTGCGGCTGGATACACGGCCTAGCTTGGCTTCACGCAGGCTATCTGACCATTCTTTTTCACTATTCATGATAAAATCCTCAATACAAAGATCACTTTCGGAGTTTTTGCCAGTCAACCGTTGCAACATCCCCTGGAAACAGCGTGAATATTTCCCAGTTTCGTCTTTAAACGTGGGGTCTGCAGACTCCAATGAGAAACTTTCACGAGTTCCTTTGATTTGGTCCACGCTTAGGATCGAAGAGGACCTCAGCCTGCTCCTTGTCGATGTTGAATGAGCATCATCAATCCCGAGACCTGCTACTACTGAAGGCTGTGGCAGAGTTGTCACGGACAGAGTTCGGCCTCGTTGCCTTCTTTCCGTGTCAGTAACGGACGATGAAGGGTTGTGCTGCCCCTGCTTCACAATTGCCTCGGCCGCTTCCGGTGAAATGCCCTGTTCATCGGGATCCGCAATTTCTTCCAGTCTGGGAGTCAATGCAGTACCCTCATGTAAGACAGTTCGTCTTATCTGATGACCTGGGCCAGACCGAACACCCAACGAGAGCGATCGATGAAGACCTTCGTCAGGAATTTGTGGTGAAGACCTGGGGATCGGATTCATTTCATCAAGATTCGGACTTGCAGTTCGCGTCGAAAAGAAGGAGATCTGACTGAAGTTGCGCGAGTGATGACCACTCGACCGTTTCTTCCGTGCTGGGTCATTTTCCTGCTCATGCATACGAATTGACTGCGCTTGCAGATGATCGAGATCCTCGACCCATCGAGCCACGGGAAAGCGTTGTTTAGCCGAGCTCGCTCGCATCATAGCGCGGTCCTTCTGCTTTGACTCTATAGCGCTTTCAATTGCCACTTTGAATTGTTTCTGGAGATGCTTCACCGTCATGGATTCGACAGGGAACCACCAGCCGGGCATTTGACCAAGTCCCCCGACCAACGCTCCAACACCCAGAGCCCCTTTTCGGCCGAACTCCACCGCCACAAGGCCAAATGGCTCGTCACGCGATGGTATAAGAGCAAATTCAGCTCCTGTAAAGATGAACGGAGGCAACGCAGTGAACTCAGGCTTCGAGAATACCCGTCTCGGGTAGAGATTCATCATTTCTTCCAGCTTGAGCGCGGCGAATTTGCCATACATATCAATGACAGGACCGATACAAATGAGCTGTACGTTCGAATGCCTCTCCAAGATTGCCGGGAACACATCGGCGATCAAATCAACGCCTTTCTGAACCGACCAACGGCCGACAAATACAAATAATTCGGCGGTTGGGTCGACTTTCAGCCCAGCCCATTTCTGCGCTTGAGAACGATGATCACCCCTGGATTGTTCATATGCCTGGTCAACCTTAATGACCTGATGGGCCTCCGTCTCGGGATCCCATGGCTCAGTATCGGACGGATCTGGGTTAGGAAGCTTGCCGATTTCTTTCAGGCCCCAAAAGATAGGATATCGTGCGTAGGATCGATCGCCGTATTTGTTTGAAACTCCCACAGCTCCAAACCCACGTTGATGCACTCGAAGGTAGCTCGCTCCGGCATGAAGCAGGTTGAATACCTCGCCAAATTGCACATATTTGCGGATTATGGCAATTTCAAGGTTGAAAACCTGGCTTATTTCTTCAAGCTCCTTTTGATCGCGTAACGGCCATAGACCTTGGAACTCAGCGTTGTGCAATGACAAACAGCACGGTATGGTGCTTGGAAGTAGGTAGAGCGGCGCCACTGCACCGTGGTAGTCGTTGATGTGGTAGATGTTGATACAGTGAGAGA